GCGGGCCTGGGCGTGGGGGCGCGGAGGCTCCGGGCGGAGGCTGCTGCTGCCCAGGCCCCGCCAGGCCCCGCCAGGCCTGGTTTGCTTTGGAATCGCCGAGGAAGGCTTTATGGGTTTACGTGGTTAATGGCTCCTCTGGTTAAAGGCACCGGCCCCCGAGCGGCTGGCTGTTCAGAAGGAACTCTGGTGTCTTCCCCTTGCGGTGGACCCAGTGGGTCGCCCTCGCCCTGGTCCCCTAGAGCTCAGCCAAGCGCTGGAGCGGTCTTTACCTCGGAAAGGGAAGGGCCCTGGGGTAATTCCTTTTTTTTTTTTTTTAAGTGGCACATTGTAAGACAGTTTTTGCTGTGCTGCGCGGTATCGCGTGTGTTCAGCAGTTTTCCCAACCAGAAACTAAAGGGTGATCAATGGCTGGAATTAAACTCTATTATCAAAAGAGTAAATCATTCTTAGACTTTACTGAAGAAGAAGTTGAAGAGTCTGTAAGTTGTATTTGACACATCAGCACACTTTTCTAAACTACCTTTTTTTTTTCCTTTTCAGATTTACAGACCTGGAGAATCTTTCCTTTCTTTTTTAACCCCCTGCAGAGATAAACTCCATTGTGGAAACCTTAAAACTTTATAAAGGGATGTGGTGGGAATTCTGTGGAGTGTAATTTTGTGTATGAATTATATTTGAAGTGTTTTGGAGCATTTTCAGAAAGAAGGCTCGATTCGACATAATCAGTTCCTTTAATATTTTGTTAGGCATTTACAATAACAAAAGCTAACTCTAGATAAATTGATTCATCCTTACTTATACATAACTCATAACAAAATGGCCCTTACATGAAGAGCAGGTTAATTTTTTTCATGTAGTATAAAGTGTATGTTGTGAAATTTTATGGATAACAAGTTTATGGGGAAAATGCTGTCCATTGGCCAGGTATAATAAAGTGGTAGGGTTAGAAGTGGAAGTATACAATATTTAACTAAGAAGAGTAAATTTGTGAGCTTTCAGCAAAATTCATTTGTCACATATACTATACCAGGCTTAGACTCAATAAAGCTTCAGATACTGCCTTCTCCAAAAGTTGACTGGAACTAATTTGACCCACTTTTAGTATTGTAATGGTTAACTATATGAAATTTTAGGTAATGTTAACTGTAGGAGACTAATTACTTGTGTTAGAAAAAAATGAGGATGTTTTGGATGTCCTGCTAAAGGGCTTATCAGGGTCAGAAGCCTGCATGCTAACTTGTGGCATGATCAGTACTTGGCTCCATACACAGGCTTCATTGCTTGTCATCAAAAGAAAATTAAAGGCATATTGTAGATGTTTAATAGTTTTTTAAAATTTTGAGAATGAACTTTTTTGAAAGAAATTTAATGCTTTCAGAAAATCATAAACTTCGGTTCTTTAGGTGTATTTGATCAGCTTATGAGTAAAAGACTTAATATAATCCCATAGATACTAACTAGTATCTTGGCCACTTAAGAGAGACTCAACTAAATAGGAATTATATATAAATAGGAGTTTATCATTCTCTTTAGTGATTAGAATCCACTTTAGTGGGAAGTGATAAGAAACTGGACGTAGAAGTATTTAGGTATCTAAAAGTATTGTTACCTATTCATGCACAAAACTACCTCCCAAAGTTGCTTAAGGTCCCATATATCAACTAGGTGTATAATGGAAGATAGAACCTTCTTGTCAAATTGGACAGAAGACAAACAGAAAATGAAGTATGACTTTTCCTGTGAACTGTACCGCATGTCCACATACTCGACTTTCCCCACCGGGGTTCCTGTCTCAGAAAGGAGTCTTGCCCGGGCTGGCTTCTATTACACTGGGGTGAAGGACAAGGTCAAGTGCTTCTGCTGTGGCCTGATGCTGGACAACTGGAAGCGAGGCGACAGCCCTGCGGGAAAGCACAAACAGCTGTACCCCAGCTGCAGCTTTGCTCAGAGCCTAACTTCAGCTACTCTGCAGTCCACCTCTAAGAACACCTCTCCAGTGAGAAGTGCCTCTGCACATTCCTTGTCCCCTCCTCTGGAACACAGCAGCTTATTCAGCGGTTCTTACTCTAGCCTTCCGCCAAACCCTCTTCACTCTAGAGCAGTGGAAGACCTCTCTCCACTGAGGACAAACCTCTACAGTTATGCAATGAGCACTGAGGAAGCTAGAGTTCTTACTTACAATGGGTGGCCCTTGAGCTTTTTGTCACCATTAGAATTGGCAAGAGCTGGCTTCTACTATATAGGACCTGGAGACAGGGTAGCCTGTTTTGCCTGTGGTGGAAAGCTGAGTAACTGGGAACCGAAGGATGATGCTATGTCAGAACATCGGAGGCATTTTCCCCACTGTCCATTTTTGGAAAATTCTCTAGAAACACTGAGATTTAGTATTTCAAATCTGAGCATGCAGACACATGCAGCTCGAATGCGAACATTTATGTACTGGCCACCTACTGTTGCAGTTCAGCCTGAGTGGCTTGCAAGTGCTGGCTTCTACTACGTGGGTGAGAAATGAGTAGTTGTACATTGTACTGTGTTTGTCTCGTATTAGGACATACAGATAGCCAATTTTTGGCCTTTTTCCTCTCCTTAGATCGCAATGACGATGTCAAATGCTTTTGTTGTGATGGTGGCTTGAGGTGTTGGGAATCTGGAGATGATCCATGGGTAGAACATGCCAAATGGTTTCCAAGGTAATTTAAGATTTTATTTTGTTTTGCTTTTTGGCAATGCTGAGGTTTGAACTCAAGACATTGCGCCTGTTAGACATACACTGCCACTGAGCTACACTCCCAACTCCCAGCAGACTAATGGTTTTGAAAAGTATTCCTACAAAAGACTGTAGGCTAAAAGTAGAACTGTGCTTACATGGTTATGATGACTTACTAGTTTTTTGGAAACAGTCTCCATGTATAGCTGGGTAGACCTTGTAGTTTTATCCTCCTTTCTCAGCCTCCTCAGAGCTGGAATTATAGGTATGAAAAGCCATGTCCAGGCCAGTACAGTTTTTTTCTTTTTATGATGGGTCTATCGCATGCCTTCTGTTTAGCCAATGTTTCCCCTGCTTATTTTGCCATACTTGGAATTGAACCTAGGGTTTGTTTTTTTTTTTGGGGGGGGGGGTCCAGTCGTGGGGCCTGAACTCTGGGCCTGGGCGCTGTCCCTCAGCTCTTCAGCTCAAGGCTAGCGCTCTACCACTTGAGCCACAGCACCACTTACGGCTTTTTTCTTTTTGCTTATGTTGTGCTGAGGTAATCGAACCCAGGGCCTCAGGCATGCAAGGCAAGCGCTCTCCCACTGAGCCACCTCCCAGTCCCCCTAGGGCTTTTTGTATGCTAGGCATGCACTTTTAACACTGAGCTGCATCTCCAGCCACTTAATAACATCTTCATTATAGCCTAGCAAGAATTTGGGTGCTCCGTTGTTAGAATTATAAATTAGTTCTGAATTTGTAATTGAGTTAGCTTTGAGATTGGGCTTTATTTGTAAAATGAAGGGGCTGGATTAACTGATTTTAGTTACTGCCATAAAATATAGCATAAAATTGACTATTTTAACCACTTTTAAGTGTATGTTGTTGTTAGCAGTAAGTCCATTTACATTCTCATCACTACCATTCATCTCCAGAACCTTTCATCTTCTCAAACCAAAACTCTGTAGATAATACACACAAACTCCTATTCCCCATACATCCTCTGGCAACCACAGTTCCACTTTCTGTTTCTAAATTGACTGTAGTCAGATTTAAGTAGAATCATGCAGTATATGGTTTTGTACATTGTGAAAGTGCATTTCACAGCTTAAAGAATCTCTTGAACCTTTTCAGGAAATTTAAAACCCTTATTTTTGTGTGAAATAATGACAAATTTCAATTTTATTAGGGATCAGTACATTGCTTGAACTCAGGGCCTGGGTACTGTCCCTGAACTTTTTCACTCAAGGCTAACACTCTACTACTTAGAGCTAGAGTGCCACGTCTGGTTTTCTTGTGGTTAATTGGAGGTAATAGTCTCACTAATTTTCCTGCCTGGGCTGGGTTTGAACCATGATCCTCAGCTCAGCCTAGTTGAATAGCTAGCTAGGCTTAGAGGCATAAGCCACTGGCAAGAAATTATACTCTTGTGTCATCACTATATCAAGATATATTTTGACTTTTTTCACTCTGAAAGGTTGCATGTTTAATGTACTTAATTTTGTAAGAAACATGTTTTAGTGTCACAATTGTAGATGACTTAATTTCACTTGACTCTATGGAATTATGTACATATAATCTGAACTTTAATTCATGATACCAAAACCAATTTCCAGAATTCTGGCATTTGAATTACTAATACTTTGTGCTTTATGAAACAAAACAAATCTTTATATTTGAAATTTGTGTTGTGTTTAAAATGGTTAGCTGAGGGAGAAGTGCTTCTCTGAAAACCACAGGTATCATTTGCGAGTAAGCTTTTATGTCAGTAAATTAAAAACGTAATTGGATAGTCATTATCAGTATATTTTAGCCCAGCTCACTTACTCATCAAATATACTAGGGATCTGATGGTCTGTGCTCCCGTGAGTTAGAGATAGGGGAATATGGAGCAGCCAGTGTCATTGTTGCTGGTGTCTTTATCCACTATAGATTTGGACCAGTCAAGTAAAATTTACAGTTAGAAAGCATAGACATTTTACCATAGACATTTCATGTCTGTAACTAGTACAGTATGAACCAGTCAGCAATAAAAATTTATAGTTCGACAGGCTGTCATCTGGGGGACAAGTTTGGATGTTTGGGATGCTTGCATCTTCTTTACCAAATTCTGTATGAGTTCAGTAGATTTATCCTCTAACAGTATTCTGCGTTCAAGGGGAAGGAATGATTTTGTCATTAGTTTCTTTTGGAAAGGTTTTTTGAGGTCTAAGAGTTGATTTAATAAGTTTTCTTGCATACAGTCACCTAACCATGGATGCAATTAAAACAGAGGACATTTCCATTGCCCAAAAGGTTTCCTCAGACTCTTTGGGAGACACTCTCTTCTCCTACCCCAGGTCCTTCCTATCCCAGGTCTGTACTCTGTCCTGTAGTTTTGCCATTTCCAGGGTGTCATATAAGTAGAATAAGTCATAGAGCTTGTCATGTGCATAGCATAAATCATACAGCCTTTCATGTACACAGAACAAATCATACAGCCTGTCATGTACACAGAACAAATCACACAGCTTGCAACTTGAATCTGACTTCCTTCAGTTAACATGGTGCTTTTTGTTATTCATCTGTGTTGCTTGTATATGAGTAGTTTGACCTTTTTTATTACTAAGTAGTAATTCATTAGATTTTACATCACAATTTGCCCACTTACTAAATGGACATTTGGGCATTTGGGTTATTTTAAGCATAGGTAGACACTGGGTGGATATGTTTTCATTTTGCCTAGGAATGGAATTGATGGGTTATATGGCTCCCTGTTGATTACTGCTCAATTGATTGGAGAGGGGAAAGGAGGGTGAATATGGTCAAAATACTTTATATACACCTGTGAAAATGGAACAGTGAAGCTTGCTGAGATTGGTTTGGGAAGGGGGAGAGGATTTGGGAAATGATGGAGGTGAGGTAATTATATGCATATATGGACATGTAAAAGGAAGCTTTTGTGAATAATTGATGCTAATAAAAATGTGAAAAAAAACAAAAGAAGAAACCAAATTGTTTTCTGAAGAGACTACCATTTTGATTTTACCTGGTAGTATTTAAGATGTACTGGAGTTATATATCTTTACTAATACTTGGCATGGTCAGTCTTTTTTATTTTAGCCATTCTGATGTAATATAATGATATTTCCCTAATGACTTTAAGAATCATATATGTTTGTGTCAGTTTAAATTTTTTACCTATGAAAATTAAGAAACTGAAAAAAATTATACTTTTTAAAAGATGAAGTCTTGCTGGGCAATCGTGCCTCATAGCTGTAATCTAATATACTTGGGAGGTTAATTTGGGAATGTTGTGGTTTGAGGCCAGTGTCAAAAAAGGCTGAAAGTAGTAGAGTGCCGGCCTATCAAGCATAAGACTCTGAGCTGAGATTCTAGGACGGCCAAACACCAGATTAGGTCCTGAGTGTTAATACATTCTGCATACACATCCTTTTATCAGGTGTGTCTTTTGAACTTTATGATTGTTTATAATAAGCTTTTTGAGGTATAATTGCCAAAATTAGATCTGTTGAAAGTGTGCAGGGATGGTTGGATATAAGAATGCGTTTTGAAAGTTTACCAGAGTCAGGATTAATACCCAGCATCTCACATAGAAACTTTGTATTCCTTTGGTGAAAATAATACGTACTACCAGCAACTTTCAGGTGTACAGTGTAGAGTCATGTCATCATATCGTACATTAGATCCTCAGAACTTAGAACGGAAAGTCTGTACTATATGTTTTTTGTAGGGGTAGGAGGCAGGTTGTAGTAATGAGGTTTGCATTTGCTGAGCTGGTGCTCTACTGCTGAGGTACACATCTAGCTTTTTTTGCACTTGTTATTTTGAGATCAGGTCTTGTTCTTTGCTAGGGTCACATCTGGACTAGTGGGTTGTTGGGTAAAATGCTTTTGCTATGAAAGCCAATTTTCTTGAATGATCGGGTTATATTTTGGTATGGTACAATTTTTAAAAGTATTTCTCCTCTTTTAGGTGTGAATTCTTGATATGCATGAAAGGTCAGGAGTTTGTTGATGAGATTCAAGCTAGATATCCTCATCTTCTTGAACAGGTAAATATATTTTAAAAATTAATATTGAAGACTGACCTTAGTGGCTCATGCCTCTAATCTTACCTATTCAGGAGGCAAAAATTTTGAGGCTCATGGTCTAAAGGCCAGCCTGGTAAAAATGTTAAAAGTCTTGTCTGCAAAATAAAAAGAGTTAAGGAAGATATGGCTCAAGTGGTAAAGCACCTACTTAGCAAGCACAAGGCCTTCAAGTTCAAAGCATAGTACTATCAACAAAGGGAAAAAATAATGTTGATTTCTGATATTATAGAAGTATTATTACAAGTGGTACTTATTTCTATGTTCTTACTAATTTAGATACATATTTTATATCTATATTAGTGATGCTTCTTGCAGTTTTGGTATATGATGACTCATGTAATACCCGCAATCAGTAGGCAGAGACAGCTAGGACACCAAGTGTGTGCTACCAGGCCCAGCGCTTGGTTGAGGAGAGTGTGGTGACTTCCTCTTCCCAGGCTGATCTTCAGCTGTAGTCCTCCCAGTCTCTGCCTCTTAAGTAATTGCTAGTTATGTAGTCATTACATACAACAAGGAAAGCCATGTATTTAAATGACCAGTTTTGCCAGATGTGATGACACATAACTGTAAACCCCACACTTACTTGGCAGGCAGAGGCTGAAAGTTAAAATTTTGAGGTCAACTTGGACTACATTGAGAGTTCCAGCTGGTCTGGGATACATAGCAAGATCTTATCTCAAAAGAAAAAAAATATATGTACATTTACTTAAGCTTACTCTTTATACTGTTTGAAATTTCTGATTTTATCTGTTAACTTTTATTGTATTATTTATAGTTGTTGTCAACTTCAGACACTGCTGGAGAAGAAAATGCTGATACACCAAGTATGTATGAGAATATTCCAATACAGAATGGGAAGTGTCATGAGAATGTTCATTATAAAAGTATATAAACGCAAAGGAAGGAGACTGGGCACTGGTGGCTCACACTTGTAATCCTAACTACTCTGGAGGCCGAGATCTAAGGTTGCAGTTAAAAGTCAGCCTAGGCTAATAAGAATCTCCATGAGACTCCTATCTACAATTAAGTACCAAAAAGCTAGAAATACGGAGCTGTGGCTCAAATTGGACAGTGCCCATGCCCTGAGTTCAAGCCCTAGTGCCAGCACACACACACACACACAAAGAATTTAAAAAACGGGCGCCGGTGGCTCACGCCTGTCATCCTAGCTACTCAGGAGGCTGAGATCTGAGGATCCGCTTCAAAGCCAGCCAGGGCAGGAGAGACTGTGAGACTCCTATCTCCAGGAAACCACCAGAAAACCGGAAGTGGCGCTGTAGCTCAAGTGGTAGAGCACTAGCCTTGAGCTGAAGAGCTGAGGGACAGCGCTCAGGCCCAGAGTTCAAGGCCCACAACTAACCAAAAAAAAAAAAAAGTGTTGCTGAGAAGAAAGACCTAGGAAAAGCATCGAGAAAGTTATCTACAAAAATTCATGGTATTCTGAAAGATTCTAGTGAGTTTGCCAGTGTTTCAAGTGCCAGCTTTTCTCAGTTGAAAAGTCAAGACACAAGCAAAAGCCGGAACCACAGATACCTCCAAGTAGTGCTACATAAGAGGTGTAGGTGGCCTGGCGGGGTAGGGTGAGAGGGGGAGGAGGGGATGAGCTGTGGGGGAGGGGAAGGACACCTCTAAGCAAGCTAGCCTGGTTTAGAAAAGGCTCAGGTAAAACACATCACTAAAGGTTGAGCAAAACTTAGTATCTTTGGATTGGAACTTAATTTTATCCACATCTGTCAATAATTACATGTATGCAATATACATATATTATGTCCATATCAGTGTAGATAATTGTTTTATGTACTAGTTACAGCTTGAAAGAGGTGTTAAGTTCTTGGTCTATTAAGAGAGATACTGGCACATGTGCAACTGGAACAGAGAAAGGGGACAGAGATGTGTCAAGCCCCAGGACTGGCTGTGAGGACTGGCAGGAGGGTTTGGTAGTAGTGGAAAGCAGGGAGTGCCTGAGGACACACAGCCGGCTCTGGTGTCAAGCGGGCAGCAGTTACCCCAGCTCACAGTCTGCACCCACTGGTGTCGGGGCCTCCAGGCCTTCATTCCCTATGCCAATTTCAAAATGACTTACTTCATATTTTTATCCATACATTTCTAAAATCTCTTTCCCACCTTGCTCTTAGTTCATCTCCTTGCTTCACTGAGAAAAATCATACAATCTAAAGAACCCAAAGGAAAGTTTTTCCTTCTCGTTAGCAAAACCACCAGTCTACATCATACATCCATGTACTCTCCTGTCTTTTCTTTTTTACTTTTTCTTTTAGAGACATGAAATAGCTATGTAGCTGGCTTGGAACTTGTGACCATCTGGCCCATGTTTACAGATAGGCCCCATCATGCCTGACCTCATTCTCTGGATTCTAGGTTTGGTCCCTCACTGGATTTTTTTTGAGGGGGAGGGGGCAGTCCTGGGGCTTGAACTCAGAGCCTGTGCACTGTTTCTGAGCTGCTTTGGCTCAAGTCTAGTGCTCCACCACTTGAGCCACAGCGCCATTTCCAGCTTTTTCTGTTTATGTGAGGAATTGAACCCAGAGCTTCATGCATGCTAGGCAAGCATCCTACTACTAAACCACATTCCTAGCCCTTACTGTGGATTTTAAAATTTTGCTTTAGCAACATCTTGTGTCATGTTCACTAAAAAATTGCTAGCTTGTTACTTGACCTCTTAGCATTGGTGGATATGTGGAATGTTTTGGGGACAGTCTCATTGTGTAGCTCTGGCTGGCCTTGAATGTGGTCCTCCAGCCTCAGCCTCTCCAGTGCTGGGATTTCAGCCTCTCACCGCCATGCCCTCTCTGGTTGGTTGGCTTCCCTGACACCACACTTTTTTCTCCCCCTATTTCTTTGTTGGTCAACAATTTCCTTCTCTAGCTGCTGTTTTATTATGTTTCTCATCTTCATGTTATTTGATCTCAGCCATCTTTTTCCAGTTTAGGGGATCCAACCCAGGTCCTGATAAGTCCTAGGCAAGCATTCGACCACTGTTTATACCCTCAGCTCTCAGTCTAGTTTGTGTGTATGCTCATGTGTGCATGTACACAAATAGTGCAAGTGTGTACACTAGGGAGAGAATCCAGGGCCTCGAACCTCTAACACTCCTGTTTTCTACCGTTGAGCCCCCCAGCTTCTGTCTCCCTGGCCCCTACCCCTCCTCTTGCAATGCTGTCGATCAAATCCATGGCGTTGAAAAGCTAGAGAAGCATTTCAGCACTGAGTCTTGCCCTTGTCTCAGCCCATTTTCTATTTTGTGGTGAAGGTATGCTCATCTGAGCACAAGGACATAGGTGTGTAAGGCTAGGGGAGGGAGTCTAGGGCCTCATGCATGTCAGTCCCATGTCTATAATGAACCTTTTACTTCACCTTTTTTCCTGGCTGGAGGTCATTTTTCACTTCTAGATTTGTGAAGTGTATTGATTTCTAAAAAGGAATGTTTATCAGAATCATTTGGGGATATTTTTAAAGAGATACGTATTCCTAGAGTATTAACTGGGATATAATCTGGGAGTAATTTTTTAAAATGTTGCATATTAGCTATGCTCCATTTAAACATTACTCAGTTCAGCTTGTTTTGGCGTTGTAGATAACTGATGCACAGCTCGTCTCCTTGATGGGGTGTGAGAGGAGTGGCTAGTCATGGTCCTTGTTCTTCCCATAGTTTTCTGATTACGGAACTTAATACTCAAAATGTCTTTTCAAATAGTTGTTCGTTTTGGACATGGAGAAAGTTCTTCAGAAGATGCAGTCATGATGAACACGCCGGTGGTTAAAGCTGCGCTAGAGATGGGCTTTAGTCGAAGCCTGGTGAGACAGACAGTTCAGAGTAGAATCCTCACCACAGGGGAGAACTACAAAACAGTTAATGATATTGTTTCAGCACTTCTTAATGCAGAAGATGAAAGAAGAGAAGAAGAGAAGGAAAAACAAGCAGAAGAGATAGCATCAGGTATTGGACTGTTGGTGACCTATGTTCTTCTTCAGTGTAGCTCCTTGGATGTGCCAACTGTGGTGATTGCTCTCAAGGAACATGTAACTAGTGGGGAAGACTATTTTTAAGCTTGTAAGGAAAGATTGGAATAGTTGATGCAACCGTGTTGTGTGCCCATGGAGCAAAACGTTTAGAAACTGACTTTTACATTGAGATGCATTTGTGTTTCAGTTCTGGCTGGCATCAGCCATGAAGTTTGCACTTTATTCACCTAAATTTCAGCTTGCCAGCCTGTGGAACAGGGATGGTAATCCCAGTCCTGTGAAGCTGAGATTTTGTAAACAGAATATCCCTCAACGCCATACCACTTATCAAAAACATTTTTTCCTATTAGATTTATTTGGAAGGGGGTTGTGGATTAAACACAGGGCTTCACATGTGCATGCACTCTTCCACTGAACTACACTTACAGACTATTAGACTGATAGGGAAGCAGGAGGGACAATGAAAGAAAGGTCTGAGAAGAGTGAAAAGATTGAGGGTCTTAAGTAGGAGAGTCACCCAGATTGAGTTACATGAAATCAGTAATCTAGTCACCTTAGGTTTGTGACTCTGCTATGTTGTAGAGACTTGGGTTGTTGGGGAGGGCTGTGTAAGGAATAAGAGTCATGCAGGATGTTACAAGAATGCCATTGACACCTCTAGCTGAGGCCTGGATAAGAATGCTGTTAGACCTGGATTAACTTTTATAGTAGTGGACTTGGATGTGATGTGGGGACCTCAGAAAAGGGAAGGAGTAGACTTAGATTTGCAAGCAATCTAGATGAATATGAAGGAGAATGATAGCTTGTCATCAGAGAAGGGAATGTGATAGCTGTGCTGTGGACAGAAAATCCCCTTCCAAGCTGGGCACCGGTGGCTCACGCCTGTAATCCTAGCTACTCAGGAAGCTGAGACCTGAGGATCACAGTTCAAAGCCAGCCTGGGCAGGAAAGTCCGTGAGACTCTCATCTCCAATAAAGCACTAGAAAACCAGAAGTAGTGCTCTGGCTGAAGCAGTAGAGCGGTTGCCTTGAGCTGAAGAGCGCAGGCTCAGCGCCCAAGCCCAGAGTTCAAGCCCCACGACTGACCAAAAAAAAAAAAAAAAAAGTCCCCTTCCATAGGATGTAGAGGGGGAAGGAAATTGGGCTTCTGTTTTCTAATGTGTTACTCAGTAGATTTATGCCTTGCAACAGTATAGATTTTCTTTTGAAAAATCTGCAGTAAGCATCTGAAGGAGTTACGTGGAAAATACCTTGGGAATTCATAGACTTGATAAGTATAGTAAATTAACTGGAGTTTTTTTGTGTGTGAATTAATATAAAACATTTACTTTTGTGGGGATTCCAATACTGGGGCTTAAACTCAGGGCCTTGAGCTTTTGCTAAGCTTTAAAAAGCTCACAACTGGAACTCTGCCACTTGAGTCCACACATCCACTTCAGGCTTTTTGTTGGTTAATTAGAGGTAGGACTCTTGGGGATTTGTTTGGCTAGGCTGGCTTTGTACCATGATCCTCAGATCCCAGTCTCTTGAGTAGCTAGAATTTTAGACTTAAGCCACTGGCACCTTACAAGAATTTGCTTTTTAAGTAAGATCAAGCTTGATTTATACATAGTTTAAAAAAATTGTCACACCGCTGGGCGCCGGTGGCTCATGCCTGTAATCCTAGCTATTTAGGAGGCGAGATCTGAGGATCATGATTCAAAGCCAGCCTGGGCAGAAAAGTCTGTGAGACTCTTCAATAAACCATTAGAAAACTGGAAGTGGAGCTGTGGCTCAAGCGGTAGAGTGCTCGCCTTGAGCTGAAGAGCACAGGGACAGTGCCCAGGCCCAGAGTTCAAGCCCCATGACCGACCCCCCCCCCAAAAAAAATTGTCACAAATCTAGAGTTATAAAATGATAATGTGTCAGACATTGTGTTAAGTACTTTGTGTCTTAGATAATTCAGTTTTTTGAGGAAGGTATCACTACTGGGTAGAAGTCTGAGATGAATGAGAAGACACTAGGTACTTGGCTACTAAGCTGCAGTAGACGTGCATGGGAGTATGAGACACTTGAGTGGGTATTGAGAGAACCCTAAGCCTGTGACACGGGGTTTTGCAGCTCATTCTCTTCTCGGTGTTTCCTATCTGCAAATGAGACAGTTTATCTGAAGGTACTTACACAAAGTAAAGTGATGCAACCAGAAGTCAGTATTTTTAATTCCATGTAGATGGAATGCACAGGGGAAAAATACTATCCTCTGAAGCTTTCTGTTTATTTTCCACAGAATAAAAGAGAAGCAGGGTCATTAGAGGTGTTAGTATGTTAAATATAAAAATTATACAAACAGAGACCCTGGGTATATTCTAAATTGTGTCTTGGTTTAATCAGGAAATTTCCCAAATGACAGATACTGAAGTGTAGACAATAACCTTTTCGTTGCCAAACTATATTTACTGATTCAGTTGTTTATGGGGTTAGTTAGTTCATGATGTGTGTATGGTTGAAGGTGTTTAAAATTTAATGCCTTTTTTTTTTTTCTTTAAATGAAGATGACTTGTCATTGATTCGGAAGAATAGAATGGCTCTGTTTCAACAATTGACGTGTGTCCTTCCTATCCTGGATAATCTTTTAAAGGCTAAAGTAATTAATAAACAGGAACATGATATTATTAAACAAAAAACACAGATACCTTTACAAGCAAGAGAACTGATCGATACCATTTTAGTTAAAGGAAATGCTGCAGCCAACATCTTCAAAAACTGTCTACAAGAAATTGACTCTGCATTATATGAGAACTTATTTGGTGAGTTAAGAAAATTATTTTAAAATCCTTAAGATTATGGTCATCTCTTTTTTTTTTTTTTGGGTCCGGTCGTGGGGCCTGAACTCTGGGCCTGGGCTCTGTCCCTCAGCTCTTCAGCTCTTCAGCTCAAAGCTAGCGCTCTACCACTTGAGCCACACCGGCTTTTTTCTTTTTGCTTATGTGACGCTGAGGAATTGAACCCAGGGCCTCATGCATGCAAGGCAAGCGCTCTAACACTGAGCCACCTTCCCAGCCCTTGTCATCTCTTTATTAGCAAAATAAATCCAGTTAACAAACTACAATTACACTTATTTTAAAATACTGGCGTCTTTAATTGTCTAAGCCTAAATGTGATGCATAGCTGGGGTGGGGTCCCCGCCATCCAGTAGGTAGTAGGTGAAACAGTGATGCTTTCTGTGTGTTCTCTCCATTTAGTGGAAAAGAATATGAAGTACATTCCCACAGAAGATGTTTCAGGTAAAGTAGAATTGAGTCTTTTTTTTTTTTGTCAGTCATGGGGCTTGAACTCTAGGCCTGGGAGCTATCCTTCAGCTCTTCAGCTCAAGGCTAGTGCTCTACCACCTGAGCCACAGCGCCACTTCCGTTTTCTGGTGGTTAATTGGAGATTAGAGTGTCGTGGACTTTTCCTGCCTGGGCTGGCTTTGAACCTTGATCCTCAGATCTCAGCCACCTTAGTAGCTAGGATTACAGGTGTGAACCATCAGTCCCCAGCTAGAATTGAGTCTTAAAAACAACATAAAATGTTATATTTGTTGTTGTTTTCAATGAGTAAAAATTGAACTTGTCTAAATGAATTGAATTCTGGATTCTGAATTACTGAATTCTACGGTTCTTTTTTATTAGGTCTGTCACTGGAAGAGCAACTGAGGAGACTGCAGGAAGAACGAACCTGTAAAGTGTGTATGGACAGAGAAGTCTCTGTTGTCTTCATCCCTTGTGGGCATCTGGTGGTGTGCCAGGAGTGTGCTCCTTCCTTGAGAAAGTGCCCTATCTGCAGGGGCCTAATCAAGGGCACCGTTCGGACTTTTCTCTCGTAAAGAAAAGTAGCCTTCATATCGTGTTGGCTTTGGAAGCCATCTGAAACAGCGAATTCCTGATTCTTCAGATTAGCCATTTTGCTCTGCTGCTTTCATAATCTTGTTTGATAAAGTCAGCATTGCGTACTGCATCTGTTTGTGTAGTTGCAAGGGACAATTGATATTTGATGCGCCAAGTTTGTAATGTGTGTGAGCGTAGGAAGTATTGATGGAGTAGCAGTGACTAGTAGGTGCCTGGACTGCCTGGACTGGATGTTCTCCATGAGCTCTGACAACTGGCGGCCATGCGTTATACCAAATTCTCTTTGGTGTTTATTATGGAAAATAGGATTTTTCTGTTACTGGTAAATAAGGTCTCTCATAGTTTGTGAGAAACATTTTAATAAAATGCTTAAAACGGTTTACATCATTGAAATGTACTTTCTGCCTGATTTCAAAATTAGTTTTCATGTCTTCATTGCACCCAGTTGCCACTAGGTAAAGTAATTACCATAATGAAACAAATTAAGAAGTTCTTTATAAAATGCTGTGAATCAGGGGCTGGGAAGGTGGCTCAGTGGTAGAGCTCTTGCTTTGCATGCATGAGGCCCTGGGTTCGATTCCTCAGCATCACATAAGCAGAAAGAAAAAAAAATGCTGTGAATCATGAGAATTCCTTTAATAATAATCTGTGGTTGTCTCTTTTCATGTAAATTTAATATTGGATGAGGACAATTAGTACCACGAAAATCTTTAATAAGTGAAGTTAGATAAATCTGTATTAGGATTTTTCAAAAAAAATAGTATAAATGTTTGTTGTTGTTGTTAGTGGTGGAATAAGGTGGTAGTACACAGGCAGTGTCAGTGCCTCCGTTTAGAGAGGAGTAATTTTTTACCTTTCCTAGATCTAGCTTTAGCTGGGTAAGGAGATTTAATACAAAAAATTCTCCATTATTCTCGGGCCACAAGATAACTCTTTAGATCTTTGAAAATTACTGGGATGGATGGATGGATGACATGCGTTCTGTAGTCCCTTCTGGACCTTTTCCATTCTGACGTTCTGACCCATGATGTTCTGGAATCCAGGCCTATCAGCAAGAGAAAAATCTCTCCCTGCCATTATGGAGAGTGTGGACTGAGGGAATTTTCCACCTCTTAAATTAATGGGCAGAAAATACAGACTCTTCTTTCATCCCGAACTTGTTAGGATTCATAAAAGATGATCAGCTTTCCCAAGGAGTCAAAAGCCTTTTAGTCATACAACATCCAGCATGTCTAAATCATAGAACTAATCCTGAGATGAGGATATAGTGTGGTTCAGCGATAGGGTGCTTGCCTATCACGTGCCAGGTCCTGAGTTCAGTCCCCAGCACTGTAAAGCCAAAAACAAAAGAACTGGTCCCCTGGTTAATATGAAATGTTTTTTGTTTTTTTGGGTTTTTTTTGGTTGTGGGCTTCAACTCAAGGCTTGGATGCTATCCCTGAGGTCTTTTTGTTCAAGGCTAGCGCTCTTACCATTTTGAGCCACAGCACCACTTTTCATTTTCTGGTGGTTAATAGGAGATCAGATAGTCTCATGGACTTTCCTACCTGGGCTGGCCTTGAACCACGGTGATCCTCAGATCACAGCTTTCTGAGTAGCTAGGATTATAGGCAAGAGCCACCAGTGCCTGGCTACGAAGTCTTAAATATTAGATACTTTGCTTTTTTATTTTGCTTTTTTGCTTAACAGGAGGTACTCTTATCAAGGACCCATGTGCCAAGCATGGTGCCACATGAAGTACAAAACAGATGGCTAGACTTTTATCCTTCCTGGAAATTCTTATTTTGAAGTCCTAATCCTTAGTAACTCAGAATGTGACTATATTTGGAAATACGATGTTTTTAAAAGGTAAGATGAGATGTTGGTGAACTCTTAATTCAGTACGTATGACCAATGTCTTGAGATTTGGATATAAACATTCCCAAAAGGAAAACTGTCCTGGGGAGAGGACTCCCAACACCTTGATCTCAGACTTCTAGCCACTGTAGCTGTGACAGATGAATTTCTTTTGCTTTTAACAGTCTCTGGACTTGGTTATGGAAGGCTATTAAGATGTATTAATACGTGTATTAAAATGTATCGATGTGCCTGTCTATATGTATAAATATAGTGGTACTGAGGATTGAACCCAGGGTTTCTCACATGCTATCATTGAGTTAACATCCCCAATTCCTTTTTGGCTGTATTTTGAGACAGAGTCTATGTAAGCTACCCAGGCTGAATTCAAACTGATTATTACCCTGACTCAGCCTCTGAGGTAGCTTGGAATGTAGGGATAAGCCATGATACTGCTAGTTATAACCATCTAAGTTTAAATGAGTTCCATTGATCTAATTTTTTAGTTTTAATATGCTAGAGTTTGCCTGTGGAGTACCCTCTGAAGGCCCATGTGTTGAAGGCTTGGTTGTCGGCCTGTGGTGCTATCAGAGAGTGGCAGTGGACCTGGAGGAGGTGGGCCTTGTTGAATGAAGTGAGGTCACTGAGGGACATACCTGCAGAAGGGATTTTGGGATCCTAGTGGGTGTGAGGTGAACACTTCCTACATCACACGCTGTTATAATACACCATGCTGAAGCATCAGAACTACAAAATGCAAGAAAATACCATCAGTGGAAGTGGTGTGCACCTACCAGAGCCTGAGACCAGAAAGGCTAGTCCTGGGTGTACACACGTAAGTTTGCCCCAAGGACTATATACAAGACTTTACAGTGGCATTATCTGCTGGAAACCCCTCAGGTAGTAGGTGAACAGGTTGATGTGTTCCACATACAAATAAATTAAGCAAATACATAACTACCATATGGACGAATCTCCTAGAGCTTTCAATAGAAATTTTTTTTTGGGGGGGGTCTGGTCGTAGGGCCTGAACTCTGGGCCTGGGCGCTGTCCCTCAGCTCTTCAGCTCAAGGCTAGCGCTCTACCACTTGAGCCACAGCGCCACTTCCGG